TTGTTGTTGACTGTTCTCAGGAACAGTTCCAGGCAAATAAAGCAGCGACCAAAATGTCAGATAGCTGATAAAAAACACAAATCGATGAGAAGACGGTAATTTGGGTGCACGGCACAGACGAGAGTCTTCAATTAAAGAATAATATTTACTTACAGCCACAACACCAAGCTAAATAGTAAAGCACATGTGTCTTTACGTCAAAAGGTCAATGGTCTGCGTCTTCAAATCGTGTACTCTTAGAAGTGCCGGTCAGAATAGATGTAGTCAGCCTCAGGCGTGGCCCCAAGGATCAGTGAGTTTACAGTTTCCTCTAGAGATGAATCAAAACGAAGCTCCAACTCTGATTATTTCACATTAGAAGAAAGTCAGAGATTCGAAATCTACAGTCTAATATCAGACAAGTTGACTATTGTAAAGGTAGGGGAATGATAGTTTATTTGGAATCATGATTAGTCAGACGTAAATTTCCCCACTTAGCCCTCAAAATTTAGATGCGAATTTTAAGGAGGTTCCCTGACTGCTTTAGTGTGGAGGGATAAGTTCCCTTTAAAGCCTTATCAAAGATATTTTCAGAGAAGTTTTGTCTCCCACCCATTTAACTTTTGTACGCGATAACGTTATCCATGTAGGTGCTTTGTCGATTGACAAATGCTTCGAAATTGAGAGTATTATGCAGTAGACAGCCAGAATGCTGGCTCTTTAATAATAAGTTGATTAATTTTGAAATACATAAGCTGATTCAAAAGACTAAGACGGATTATTATATCCAGAACCAAATGACTCTATCCTATTGGTTTTTTATTCTTTTTCAGAGTAGTCTTTCACAGGAATCTGGGAAAGGCGTCGACTCACCCTTCGGGACAAAAGCATAAGAAGAGTCTTTCACGCTGAATAACATCTTAAAACATTTTATTAACATTTCAAAGGATGAAACATAGTGTTTTCTGATATCCTCTTTAGAACTGCGGTCGTGGTATTTTTCAATTCCTCTCTCCTCTTTTTTTAATGTTGAGAATACTCAGAAATCATATGCCTGACTCTAAGCTCCATAGGGAAGATATTTTAATAATGTGCCATCGATTTCAGACAGTGTTGCCAATGCCACTAGAAAATAGGCTGCTGTTTCGCTGTGAACTATATCAGCTTTTATTACTTTGCCCAGACAAACTAAGTACAGTCTCAATAAACTGCTTATTAGATTTTGTAGCTTTGCAACACAATGCAGTTACATTAGAGTTTTAAAACAGCGAAACATCTCGTGGTGCCACTTCTAACGGTAACCAATATTTTTGAGAATATAAAAGCCTCGCTAATGATAACTATTACTTTCTCTGACAAAACGATTCTCTAACTCGACCGAGATCATCAAATATAATCATTAGCGACCACCAAAACGTTTCAATTTCTGTATCAGTCTAAAATATTTCAAGTACTAAATAAATAAAGAAATGCTTCTCCAACAGAAAAACTATTTTTATTTAACATGGTTCTTTATACGTTTCCGAAACATACATTTTATTATTTCCTTAGCGTACTGGAATTTATGTTAAAGTCTTGTATGTGACACGAGACTATAATACGAGTACATTTGAATAATTCATTACCTTACTAAACAGTTCATACTAGTACTTTTTTTCCATTTTCTGTTTAATCAGTTAGCAGTATGTTACAAACCAGTATTCAAATGGCTCCGAAAGCAGTTTTTTTTCTGTTTTTGAGATACTTCAAGTCAATCGTGTTTATTTTAAAACTGATAACTAAAACACGTATACTTGCGGTAGATGCTACTAACGATCTATCACAAAAGAAGTTGGAGAAAAGTAGGATAAATGGTTGGTATCAGTAAGATGGTTGATTTATTTTATCGAGTTGAGACTTAGTAAAGGAATTGATTGATAAATGACAAAAATCAAATAAGTATTTTAATCATCGAAGTTTACTATAGACATGGACTCTGTCTTTTGCATCTTAAACTATTATTCGTTGTCTTTCGTATAAAGTATTCCTGAAAAGAACAAATACAAATAACATAAAACAACATACAGTTATACAAAGTTTTATGTTAAATACAAATAACATAAAACTTTTCCTATGATGTTTTTCTGCATTATTTGCTACTTATCTTTATGATTAATTTATTAAATTGCTAATACAATGGTAATAACAAACTATGAAATGAAATAAAAAACAAATCAAACCATAAGTAACGAATTATATCCTATTGGCTGAAAGCTGCAGTCATAATCTAGCGATTAAAAATAGATTAAGAATGTTGAATTAAGTTGTTTAGATTCCTAAAGGGATACAAGAATAAAAATAAGATCTCTGAATGGTACAGCAATTCGTGATAATAATTTGAGTGTATCCCCAATGACCAAGAAATTTGAATTAGTAAATTAAAAGTCTGAAATACTCTTAAGTAGAGAAATACTAGTAAATGATAAAGTAAAGACTAAATATAATAATAAATCTCAAGCAGAAGCAAAATTCAATGTAAATTACAGAACGTATATTTAGGATACAGAAGATCATAAATAAATTGATACATCTCACTTTTACTTCATTACCTTTTATTAACAGCTCCAAGTGTATCGATTAGAGTAAATCCATTAAGAAAATATCGCCAACAATGACAGTCAGTTTCTCTAAGACAATCACTTTCAAAGAAGAACAAAATCTTCTTGAATCATGGGCAGTCGTTTCAGGGAGGATCCCTGTATTTTTTAAAATGTAATAAAATCATTATTCGTTATATTCTGTTTATCTTTTTATACATGTTTTTCAACTAGAGTCATGCATTTACTAAAATAATTCAAATGTTTTGGCTATATGTATCTAATTAAAATTCCAGCCGCTGCTCCTGAATAACTTGTGTCTCCTATTAATATGACATTTGACCACCTTTCCGATGCAACATGAGAGCAAATATGCAAACTATAAATCTAATGTAAGCAGTTACTTACTGCATTTAGGTCTACTGTTATTTATAGAGTATGTGAGAAACTGTTTAGCCATTGCAACTCCAAATAAGCCCTTTCATATACAGCATAGTACTTTTTTATATGTGGTTTTTGATTATTCAGGATAAAGTATAACTTTTCCCTAGACTGTAAAATTTAATATTCATATCTGCGAATGCAACAATATTCAGCATGTAAAATAAATACTTTACCAAGCACCTAGAAGCTGCATTCCAAATTAAAGGCAAGAGAAACATTAAAATGGCAAAGTAATATTCAGCAACGAAGTAGTAATTGATAAATGCATTTATAATGCGAAAGAAGAGATAAATGATTTATTAAGCCACCAACCTCAACTACCAAGAAAGAAGGTAAGCTTTAACTAAAATTTTACGTAAAATGTGTGAGTAGCTCTACAGAAATAAAAACAATACAGAAGATCCATACGATTAATTTGATACTAAGTGAGAACAGAAATTATCTGGAAAAATCCTGTTCATAATTTTGGTTTCTGCACTGGTAACTCTGATAGCATTCTGGAACGCGAAATAAAAGTGTAGAAAAGACCGGAAATGTATTATGCGAAACATTTAAATTGTATAATTACAGCAGACCCCAAATAACTGAGCTAATTCCGAAAGGATGCGCATCAGTAATCCGACAACAGTTAAAAAAGCCACACACACACAAAAAGAGGAGTAAACCATATTATAATCAACAGATAAGTATTATTAACGATTTACCTGCATATTTTAGCTATTTAATTTGGAGAATAAGGTGATTTGGTCAAGTAAATTCTATCAAATTCATTTCATTCAAAGGAAAAAAAAACATTTTAAAACAGAAAGAGCGATGTTTTTGTTCATATTATTCTTGCATTTCGATAGAAATCAATGGGAAACTGAAGAATAATAGCTGATTTCATTTTTATGATTTAGCAGTTTATTTTTAAAGGATGATGTAATAATATGTATCGTTTCCGGATTGTGTACAGTTAAAATATGTACCGTTGTGTATAAAAACATGTAGAGACATTAGGTATTTTAGAAGCAGGAGAAAAGAAAAATTAGCAACGCCTTTGCCGGGAATCGAACCACGGACCTCTGGAATACGCGCCCAGCGTGCAGATCACCACTCCACGAAGATATGCCAAGAAGAGAGAAATACATATAACGATTTCTTAAATACTGTGGCATCTTCATTTATCATTGTTGTTTCCCCACGCAGTTTTTTCTTCTTTTTGTATTTCTCGGAGAAATTTTGCTTTATTTTGATGGCTCGTGATAGTAGTTTTCCTATGGTTCAGCAATAACTTAGCTTAAATTAGCTTAGAATCTTACCCTTATTTTTTAGACAAACCCGCATTTCGGATAAACCGCATCTGGTTAATTGAAAGTTGACTGTATACAATCAGCGATCAAAGTCTGTTTCCTCTATAATAAGCACATAATTAAAGATTAAAGTCTGTTACCTGTGTAATCGTATTATAAGTTTTGGTTTGATGCATTTGAATATGGGTTGTCAAGGAAGATGTCTGTCTAAGTTGAGAGATTGGATTGTTTAGATTATAGCAAAGGATGCAAAGGTTCTCTGCCTTAGAATAGAGATGCCTTTTTTTATTCGAGGATTTTACTTGAGAAAACGATAACATTAAAAAAAGAAAACATTTCATTAATATTATAAACTATTAATTAACTAGTTTCCTTGCATTATGCAGTTTGAGTATGTCTCGTATTTTTTACTTTTACATTTACTGCACATGCCCATTAAGTTTCATCATTTAAGAATAATTTGTATTTTTAAGAGCATGATCAGAATCGAAATATAGGCCGTATTAAGTCCTTTAAATGCTCCTCTGCTTCATCTTCAGCTATGATTCAAATTTCTATAATAAAAAGGAGATTCACTTTTATAAAAAGTGGCTTTCACAAATTGTAGAAAATTTATTGTAGAAAGGAAGAAATAAAATAAAAAGGAGCTTCACTTTTTATTACAGAAAAATACAGATTTTTATTATAGAAATACAGAAATTTATTACAGATTTAATGAATTATCACTTGGAATTCCCTAAAAAGCCCAGGAAAAAAATTACAATAAGCCAGCTTTTAAAAATAAACAAGGTTAAATTTAGGTGTAAATTTCGAAAGAAAAAAACTCGCCTTTGCATAATAATAATCTCTAAAACGTGATATAAATTATGCTAAATTCAGTGCTAACAACAAACACTGATTTCTTCCTACTTGAATGCTATGCTGAGGCGCATCAACTAGAGAAAAACTGGTCATCCATTTAACGTTGCGGAAGAAAAGGATGGATAAAGTTTTCCCTTTGTTTTCGCGAAATATGTTATTTCATTAATGATGCTGGCATATAGGTAGCATGCAGGGGCAGAATTAGAGAAGAGGCATAGCAACGCACAATTCGTACTTTTTTGAATTTCTGATTCAAATAAATTCAATGACGCAATCTATGTATATTTAAAGTAATTTATAAAAATTTTACTATACGAATGAGTTAAAAAAATAATAAATGCTTCTTACATAGTTTCAAATTTATAGGCATGCTCTGAGAGATGCCGCTGGTTTCAGAATCAGTATTTGAATTTTAATTAAAATTAAAAAAAATAAAGAAATTGCAAAATTGTATGCTGCACGTAACGATTTTGTGAGTTCTAAGGTACTAAATGTAAGAAAATCGCTGACAATGAGCGGCTGAAGATTTCTAACACTAAGAGTTAGATGAAAGAGGAGAAAAAAGGTCTGCAAACTATTGCATCAGAATTCATACAGTGAGAAGAATTTTAAAACTGTTTCACGACGGGATAAGACCAATAAAAGCTGGCAGTTCAATCTGGGTTGAAGTTCCGGTAAACGGGGTTGGCTGCATCCATGTTTGTGTAGTTTTCTCTATATGCAACATAAATATGAGACATATTTCTTTAACAATTCCACCATTAAGGCATCCCTCTACGAAGTCCTCTACGAAGGCATCCTTGCCCCTAACCAGATAGTGCTTAACTTCTTTGTCATTTTCGAATTACTCCTAATATTCTCTTAAAGCTAGTGCAAGTAAATTTTTTGTGAAACAAGAAGTGTGTTTGAAAATGGCATACACTACTCAGAAAAGCGCGGTTTTTGATTAATAAATACTTTTCTTCTGCATTACTAACTTATTTGCTTTTGCTACATTCTTCGTCCACCAACAACTAAGTGGTAAGGTCACTGAACCCTGCTGGTTCGACCAAGTTTCAAACCCCAGTGAACAGGCTAGCTTCGTAGGAATTTTCATAATTTTTTCTATGTGTAACATGAAATTGAGTTAATTTCCCGTAGAAAGGTCCGGTTCTCCACCAAGGCATCTCTTTTGTTAGGCAGATAGATCTCGTATACTTTACCTTAAATTATACTTTATCTTAATAGTCTAATATTACGTTTTTTCTATTGGCATAGTCTGAAAACTTAATACTTTTTTGGTAAAAATATCATATGTAGAAGCTCTTAACAGTTATGATAGGAACAAAGGAAACTGTTACCTTTCACCAATGAGATACTACATCATTTGAAGTCTAATTTATCTTTTTCATGACGTAATTTTCAAAACTCGCGTTTTTTTAAATCTGTGTCAATTTTTAAGTAGTGATAGTTTTTTAGTAGTAATAATCCTAAGCAAATACCTAAATCCCATATTAAACCGTCACAAAAAGAAAAAAATAATACCGGGTTTGTTTGGAAAACTTCTTCTTCTTTGGAATCAAAATATAGTAACCACTGTGCAGAAATGTAAAGATTATCGTACAAAATTAAAACAGTAAAAGCCTGGAAATGCTCCTAAGAAAGTAGAAATAAAATTACATAAAAATCTTAGCAAGATAATACCTGAAAGACCGAAAAGAATAAATTAATTTAATTCCAAACTAGTTCAATATTCTATCTTATTCCGAGAATATTATTATAAGATGTTGCAAAAAAGTGATGAATATAAAAGGATATTAATTTATTTTATTTCTATTTTTATGAAAATATGATTTTTAATTTTCCCTTATCTGATGCTTCATGACTTATGACAAGAATTTATTTTTTACAGTTTTAACCTATAATTCATCTCTAAATTTGACTGCATCTTTTAGCATCACTAATACATATTTATATTTTTGATTGCTTGGAGGAATGTATATATATATGTATGTAATTATACTTATCATTAGCGTTATTCAAATATTATTTAAACATAGCTGCATGTTAAAACCATATATATTTTAAGCGAAATATATTGAGACCTAAATATAGGAAGAAAAGTTAAACTATTTTAAGTTACAAAATATAAGAGACGTTTTAAAGTGATATTTATCAAAAGGTTTTATCATTCTTATGTCATACTTTCATAACAATAGGTAAAAGGTATCTTTTTTAATAATTTTCTCAATATTATTACGCTTAAAAGTAATCGATTATTTATTTCCGAGTTTAATCTTCTTTTCCTTTTCTGGGTTGCATGCATTGAAAACTAAACTGAAGCATTTATTGATTATTTAAAATATATCCCCCTCTTCCCGCATTAGTGTCTGTTTCGTTAAACTTTCCTGAGCGGTATATTAAAATTTTTGCTCATAAATTACTTAGGAGCAAACTTTGTTGTGAGATTGACAGCAGCGAAGATTTGGCGCCATTCCCCGAACGCGCTTTGGCGACGGCGCGAATTTTCTCCTTCTACATAAGTACGACCAAAGACCGATTCATTCGCATCCAGCCAGAGCGGTCGCGAAGCACGCCGCGTATGCCTTTTCGGTAATGAATGTGAAATGGTGCAGGCGTGGGTCAGTTGTTGATGCGGATTTCTCTTCTTTGGACAAATAAGAGAGCTTCTCTCTTCTGGTGTAATGGCTGAATGTAATTCTGTTTGTGTTCGGACCATAAAACGTCTGTCTAGAATTCTGATATAGTTCTAACGATGAGATCTCCGACGTTTTATCTTAAAGCAGATCTCTGCCGGCTCGCAGGCTTCTTTGCTATGTTATGCTTGTTAGAGACTGCAGCTTTTGAAATATATCTTTCGAGTAATGAAAATAAGGCAGGTTATATGCTATTTAACTGTAGCCTCCACGGAGATAGACGGTATTTCATAGAATCCTCATCTCTTCCTTCACCATCCAGTTTTGTGCACATTGAATCAAAAAGAGGAGAACTGTACTTAAAACGAGCATTCCCTTGCCATGATGGTTCTGTTCGAAATAACACTGTAAATAGTCCTTTCCAATTTTTTGTTGGCTCGATTGTAAATCGTTCTCGTTTACCTGTGGTACAATACGTCAGCATTCCTGTAAGTGTGCATCTGAGAAGTGCCTCATGCAACGATAAAGCGTATAATAGCCGCCCTGTACCATTCCTTGAAGCTGTGATATATATCGACAATGACATACATTTGAATAATTCATTGCCAGATGTATTTAGTACCTGTTGGAGAAAAAGTCAGGAAATTTTAAGTTTAGATTCTTTTATTCCTTTCGCGCAGCTAAAGCGATGCGATATTATTTACCGGCAACCGGTTCAAGATTCATATTCCATCGAAATAAATGGTGTTCAACTAGTCGCTAATCGTGATTTATGTTCATTTTCTCAAAATTGGATAATAGAATTCCAGTTTTTAACTTTTTGTAGTGATAGATTGTATACTCATTCTGTCCGCTTGCACTTTCAGCATGTATCTTTTCAGAATGTCCGAGAATTTTTAACTCACGGTAGGCTACGTAGGGCTACATTAAATCAACCTCCAGTGTTTAAAAAACCTTTATATAAAGCTTTTGTCCCAGAGGAAGTAGAAAGTGGTTATCCAGTCATAAATATTACTGCTTCCGATCCTGATGGAGACGCAATATCTTATGCATTGCATGCTGCTGTGGATTCACGCAGTCAAAGGCTTTTTGAAATTGATGAAAATAGTGGGGAGGTGAGAACCACAACGCATTTGGATCGTGAATTTATGAATGTTCATTTTCTTAGAATAACAGCAGTTGATAACAGGTTGCCCCATTCCACTGGGACTACTACTCTTCAGGTGATTGTGACCGATCGTAATGACCATACTCCAGTGTTTGAACAAGCAACATACGTAACTTCGGTGCGAGAAACGAGTCCAGTTGGTTCAATTGTTGCTACTGTCAGAGCTACTGACCAAGATGTAGGGGAAAATGCTGAATTAGAATACAGTATTTTAAATCCGTTAGGTGATAACGATGTATTTCACATTGATCCATATTCAGGAATTATTACAATAGGAAAACAACTTGACAGAGAAATGACAGCATTTTACTCTCTCTTAGTTCAAGCAACGGATTTTGGTAAAGATCCTGAAAGAAGGTCTGCTCTCGCAACTGTTGAGATAGCTGTCCTAGATGATAATGATAATTATCCACAATTTACTGAAACAACCTATTTTATTGATGTACCTGAAGATATTGACTTTACATCTCGACCAGTCGTTGCTGTTGTCAGAGCTGAAGACAGAGATCTGGGTGTTAATTCTGCTGTCCGCTACTCAATAATAGGTGGCAATACTCAAGGCCATTTCAATATTGATTCACAAAGTGGTGAAATTTCTGTCATTTCTCCCTTGGATTATGAGGTTGTACGAAGCTATAGGCTGATAATTAGAGCGCAAGATGCCGGTCAGCCATCACGTTCAAACACGACTAACGTCATTATCAGAGTGCTTGACGCAAATGACAACAACCCAAAATTTTATACATCTCTTTTTCAAGAATCGGTCTCGGAAGGTGTTCCATTAGGACATTCCGTACTGAGAGTACAAGCTTACGATGCTGATGATGGACCAAATTCCGAAATAATGTATTCTCTTGTGCCTACTGAACAACCCATACCTTTCGCTATCGACCGAATAACTGGATGGATTTTAACGACTAATGAGCTTGATAGAGAAAAGAATTCATTTTTTGACTTCGAAGTAATGGCCAAAGATAGGGGCTCCCCGTCCAGATCTTCAACAGCCTCAGTTATAATTCGCATTCAGGATGTCAATGATAATGACCCTGTGTTCAATCCAAAAGTTTACGAAGCAACAGTATCAGAGATTGACCCTCCTGGTACTCCCATTATTGGAGTTACAGCCACAGATCGCGATGAAGAAACTCGTCTTATATATCATATTAGTAACGGCAATCACCGTGGACGTTTTAATATCATACATCAGAATAGTGAAGGCTTAATTTCAGTTGCCCAACCATTGGATTACAGACTAGAAAAAGTATTTACATTGACTGTAAAAGTTACAGATACTGGTGGAAGATCAGATACAGCTACAGTTCATATAAATGTAACAGATGCAAATACTCACCGTCCAGTATTCGATAAAGTGCCATATACAGCAAGTATTCTTGAAGATGCCCCTATTGGGACAACTGTTCTTGTAGTTGAAGCTTTTGATGGAGATGTTGGAGAAAATGCCCGTATTTCCTATTTTTTGGAAGACAATCCAGAATTTACAATTGATGCTACAACAGGTGCCATAATAACATCTCAAAAGTTGGACAGAGAGCTGACACCAGGATTTATTTTAATTGTTACAGCACAAGATCATGGATCTCCAAGTTTATCGGATACAATCAACGTAGAAATAGAAGTTTTAGATGTAAATGATAACACCCCAATCTTTGGTGATAGTTCCTACATTGCTTCGGTAAGGGAGGATACTCTGGTTGGTTCAAGTGTTCTTCAAGTGTCTGCTTCAGACAAAGATATTGGACTTAATGGTCAGGTGAGATATACATTTAGCGGTGGAGAAGATGGTGATGGAGCATTTATAGTTGAACCAACATCTGGTATAATCCGAACAAATCATCTTTTGGATCGTGAATCTGTGCCTAAGTATCATTTAATTGTTTATGCTGTAGATAGAGGTGTAATCCCACTTTCTTCTGCAGCTAGTATCACTGTCAATGTTGAAGATGTAAACGATAATCCTCCACGATTTGACACTGATATCATCAAAATGTTTGTGTCTGAAAATAGTCCAATTGGATCATTAGTTGGGGAAATTATGGCAGTAGATCCAGATGAAGGACCCAATGCTGAAATTCTTTACAGTATTGTTGGTGGGCCTGATGCAGGTAAATTTAGCCTTATATCTAGAAATGGCAGATATGCAGAATTATTAACGAAAACTCACTTGGATTATGAAACTAGTAAAAAGAAGTATGTTGTAATAGTCAGAGCATCGTCTCCTCCTCTAAGGAATGATGTTGAAGTAAACATTTGGGTGACTGATGTTAATGATAATGCACCACGTCTGCGAGATTTTTTAATTATTTTCAATCATCATAAGAACCACTTTCCCAAAAGTCCCGTGGGAAAAGTTCCAGCTTATGATGCTGATGTTACAGATAGACTACGTTACAGGTTTATCTCCGGAAATAATGCTAACATGTTGATACTAAATGAGCATACGGGAGAACTTTCACTGAGCTCTCATCTGGATACCAATGTTCCTTTACATGCTATGATGGAAATCAGCGTGTTCGGTAAGTGAAATATTCCATTTATAACTTCATTTTGTGAATTATTAGTGTACCTCTTTTTAGGATAAGTTTACAGCTGTAGATAAACGTATGGTATTATGAGATATGTTGGATTATAGCCCGAAATTCTGTAGTCTGAGCTTTCTGGTATTTCAGAATGTCAGTATAATTTAATTCTGTAAATATCTTGGTGATAGACCAATCAGCTATAAGTCTTAATATTTCGCTAGCTTTTTATTTCTGTCCTCTCTCGAAGTACCAGACTAAATAATCAATTAGTAGAGAATAATTATTCAGACTGCAGACTAAGCCAGAATAAAATTTAGGTTATTTTGGCTTTATATGAACGATTATTCTTCCATAGAACACAGAAGCCCGGAAAAGGAAAGCGTGAAAAGGTTTAATTCAAACTCGTTAGTATAAATAATAAAAACTTTATACCTACTCAAGGAATAAGCAGCAGCAGCAGCAAAACAAAATTGCAGCGATAGTTCCAAAATGCAAAGAATTTTATAGTCATTTCTAGTAAATTTATGTTAGCTTGTGTGTGCTTGAGTTTCCTAAGTAATGGTATTGTTGATAACAATTTGAAACTTGTGCAAAATACCAAATATTGCTTGTAAATTTGAAAGAATATTAAATTGAGATTATCTCCTTTCCGCAATAAGCATTCTAATTTGAAACTTGTGCAAAATACCAAATATTGCTTGTAAATTTGAAAGAATATTAAATTGAGATTATCTCCTTTCCGCAATAAGCATTCTAAATATACGTTGCTTAAATAGCAAATACTCTTTAGTCTTAAAATTTTCAGTCCCTTCATAAAGATATAAAAATGTTAATTTAATATTCATATTTCGATTTTCTGCAATATCTGACAGACATTTTCAAATCTACAAATCCGGGGAAAAATTATTGCTGAGACGAATGCTTCGGCCAGCAGATAAAAATGAGTTTTATTGTTGAATAAGAGATGCAGATGCTTTCGTCGTTCTTATCATTACTTACCTTTAATATGACGTTATCTTAAGTTTCTTACTCTCCTTTTCCTTATCTGGAAGCGTGTTTGTTTAGAGGTACCGTTCAGTCAAGCTTAATTATAGAACAGTACTTTTTTTAAAATTTTCTTTTTGATGTCAATTTTGTTGTAATTCACAACGAACATTTTTTTGAAATATGTATATTTCTGAAAGTAATTACAAAGATTTGGAAAGTTTTAAACAATTATTTTTATTTAAACAGACTTTAGAACACAAATGCACTTTGTGCTAACAAAATCAACCTATGCTCGTTATGATACTACTATTAAAGTTAGGACGTGAAATAGCAGTCGAAGACTATGGAATTTAAATCTTACTCTAATCTAATCTGATCTTACTTACTCTAATCTGGCTCAGTAACTCTACAGGAGCACCAAATTCAAATTTCAGAAGCGATATAATGCAAAGCCAAATAATTACAACTTATCAAAGCTGACAGAAGCTAAACGTATCGTGCATTTGCAAATCAGAAACATGCTGTGTCTTAACATCCCAAAACCTCAGTTTGAATGCTAACTAAATACTATTCACCACTGGTGAGGAAACGCAAAGGAAAAGTTATAGTAATGGCTGAAATTATAAATAACTGTCTAATTTAAATAATGATTTTATAAGATGAATAGTAATCTCTCATTATTCGTGGTCAAGAAAACTCAAACAATTTCTATTAGCCTTTCACCTCTTGTGAAGTCTTGTCTCTTGGATAAACAAAATATGGCTTTTCTCCATTATTTACTTTTTGCTTTCACTTACTTGTTTTTCTCTACCTTTTCGTTCCATGAACTGAGTTTATTAAAATTTGCTGATAATGACAGAGACCTTTCTCCTTTTATGAATGAGGAAGATTAAAAAAATTGTTCGTGCTGCACTTTTCAAAAAACAATCTCAATAATGTTACTATTATTTTATTTTTCATTCTATGTATAGATATGAGTTATTCTAAATATAGATATGAGTTAGGAAGTTAGGAACTTCCTAACTCATATCTATATTTAATTTCAAAGTTAGTTCATAGTAGTAAAATTTGCTATTTTGTTCTCAAGAACTTGGTACCAAATCAGAAGTCTTAGGAAGTTATAACATCGTTTGTAAGTGTAAATTAAAAGTGTAAGTGATAAATTAAAAGACTTTTTAAGTTTCATGTTAAAGAACACAAATATTGATTCAGAAATAAGAAAGATAATAAATGCTACACTGCTAATATTAATTTTGATTTCCTCTACTATTCTTTCAATTGTTTTCCCTCCTGAAAGTTTCTTCGAATATTTTTCCACTTGTGAACAAGGTTTCTTTGAATCTAATCACGTTTAACAAAGTTTGCTAAACTTAGCTAAAGAATTTTAACAGTAAATCTCCTTTTTTTCATTCCTTATTTATATTTCATTTAACTTTGTTCAACGAAAAACAATTGCCTTTAAGGAAAATTCAATTCCATTGTCTGTAAGGCAAAATATCCCAAATATTGCAGATTATCTTTTTCCCAAACAAGGTGTGGGGAAAAGATTTCGGACAACTCTGAAATGTATTAGATATCTTTTGTAAAGAAGTTTATTCTTTCAAAACTCATATTTTATCAAATGTCCGTGGTAAATATTATACTACCAATCCGCTTTCCTTGAGAGTTGAAAAGCCATAATGTCAGTATTTATTACTGAACATTTAGGTGAACGAAAGCCGCAATCTTTATTGATTTCTCATTGATCATTGAGAAACTTCTGTACTTTCTTTCTATCTTTATTAATTCAGAAAATTAGGAGAGACAGAGTGAGAAAGTTTTATTCCCATTGTGAATGCCGATATAATATGGTTTGGTTCTATTTAGTTTATTATGGCAAAACACGTTATGGTTAGCTGCCTAACAGCAAGGATAAATTCGTGGATGACTTTATAAGGAAAATTAGCTCCTATACAAGTTACACATGGGGAAAACCATGCAGCCAGCCCTTTTGCCTAGATTCGAACTCAGGTCGGAACTACCAGTGTTCAGCGGTTTTACCGCTCGGACACTGGCGGGCCGCCCACAAACCATATTGTGCAGATTAATTTATATCTACTTTTATGCGCGCAAAAAGTACTATTAATGTGTGACTGGATATTGAAGGAAAACGGGAAAAGTAACCCTCTAAATGTTTTTGTCTGCAGTCTGTAACTGCTGTTGGTTTGCTGTTTCATGTTTATGGCATAAGCTATATATGAGCAAATATGAGCCAATTTCCTCAGACAGCCCAACAAAAGCGAATCATTTTAAGCAAATAGTTCTTACATTATTAATTGATATATTTATATAATAATTATGTAATCAAGTCAAACTTTAGTGTAATTCTCCATAAATAGCAGTATTCTGAAGGCAGATGCAAATCACAGATAAATGCTATTGAAAAGGTTGATGAGACATTTTGGGTAATATTAGGAAATGAAAAAACTGTTCAATACAATGTGCTTTAAAAATTATATGATACTGTAAAATCCCGATTAACCGGTTTAATACGGTGATGATGTCCACAGCAAAACCAAGATCATAGTTAATTCGACAGCAATTAAATAAAGCCACAGGAAAGAGAAATAGCTCATATTATAATTAATGAAAAATACTGTTAACAATTTGCTTGTATTTTTAAGCAGTTTGATTTGGAGAAGTTCATTTGGTTATATAAATTAAAAATCTCTATTCAAAACAAGAACCTACTTCAAAACACAAAGAACAATGCTTTTGTTTATATTACTCTTGCATTTCGATAAAGTCAGTGGGAGACACGAGATGAATGTCTGTGCACATAATTAAATTTTACGATTCAGCAATTTTTTAAAAGTTAATTTAACAATGATAATATATTCTAAACTAGGGACAATTAAATAATTAATTGTTTTATTGTTTTCATTCGGAATAGAAAAGAAACATTTGCAAATATTTTCTGTTGCTGATAAAAATAATTCATAAATACTTGACATCATCTGCTGTCACTGTTATCACACGCAAATTTCTACTTCTTTTTCACGTTTCCCGTAGATATTTTGCTTTAGTTTAATGCTTTATGATAGTAATTTTGCTACAGTTCCGTAATAAATAAACTTAAAGTTTTTTCGACAAAGCCTGGTTACCTAAAAACACAGTTAATTCATCTGATTTAATTGAGAGTTGAATGTAAAAACAAGACATAAGTTTAATATTTCGTTGAAGTAAATTACGAAATTTTTTTATGTAGTTTCAAAAAGCCTTATTTTTAAATACATTATTTAAAACGTTCTAACAATAGCAAAATGATTTAAAAATTTCATTGTGGCATTTGATGGAATTTATTTCAAAATCGAAACGGATATTTACCTTAAATTATTTACCAGTAACACTAAAATCATTTGTCAAATGCGCTTACTGATTAACCCTTTGTAAAATGTAAATAACATTTTAATAACATTCGTGGATATAGAGATCATTAGGTTGATATTCTCTTTGCGTTGATAGCTCCCCACAAATTCCGGTAAATGGGAATGTATAACGGCGCTTCCTCAAGCCATTAATCTTTTCTTATTGATCACAGAAGAGCATAAGCATTTCCCCTTTCAACGAAACCGCATATAATCATAATCAATTTCTTCTTTCAATAATACAGTTTGTTACCTCTCACGTTATCTAAATGTGTATGTGCTGGCATTCAGTCCATGCTTAACAAATCACAATTTTAATACTTTCTCTATCCTAAAATAATCTTTTAATAAAGCTTGTGAGGGCCTTCCGTCTTATTTTCAGAAGTTACATCTGCTTACTCATCTCATATAAACACATTTCAGTGCAGGTTTCGCATTTATTTAATAATAATTTTATGGAAAGGGACAGGCCAGCTGTATAAAACGTCTGTTTAAAAATAATGCTAAAACATTTATTGTGCTGCAAGAAAGTGTTGTAACAAGTTGAGTTGTTAATGTGAGTAATTTAATTAAAATTTTTATTTTCTTAAACAAAATAAA